CTGCTTACAGGTCTGTCCAAACAGACCTGTAAGCCGCTGCAGTACATACAAAAATGCAGCACTAGAGTACCTGACCAGGAACCAGGAAGTATACCATATAGTCCGTCCTCAGTCTCTGCACTGTCTTCCTGTGGCTCAAAGAATTAGATTTAAAACAGCTCAGCTTGTGTACACGTCACTCCATGGCCGTGCACCAGAATACAATAGTGACATGTTGGTAGTCCATATATGAACCAGGCCCGGACTCTTAGGAGCACAGGGACTGGCCACCTGCTGTTGCCCCATAGTGAAGAACCCAAACATGTGAGGCCTGCTTTCAGATCTATGCAGCTAAGATCTGGAACCAATTCTCCCTGAAAATGTGAGTGAGGCGTCTACACTGTACAAAGTTCAAATCCATGTTAAAGACTGATCAGTTTGCTCTGAGCATACAACTGAAGTATTTTAATATCTCCATTTGTAATAGCACTCTGACATTTAATTATTTATTTTTTTAAATTTCTGTGTAACTTTGAAAGTGTTAATGGTTTTTAATCTTGTGTGTGATTATTGTTTTTATTGTGTTTTAATCTTTTGTGTGATTTTAATGTTTAATTGTGATTCTGTGTTTGTTTTATTAGATGATTTGTGATGTGGAACTGTGAAGCGCTTATGTGTTGCCCTGTCATGAAAGGCGCTCTAACAAATAAACCTTTGATTGATTGATTGATTCATATTGTCGCAACAATAAACAAAAAAGATCAGTAAAATATCAGCATAGCATGATAGAGAAGTAATGTATTAATGTATATATCTTTAGCATAATACAGAATCAAATTAATTACATTTAGCATTATAAAGAAGCAAGAATCCTGTATAATCTAGCGAAGACATATACAGTTGTATGTTTACATCTGACATTAAGCAGCATGAGTCTCTGGGATACAGTAAGTACAGTTTATAGAAGAAAATATTGAAACTGGTAAAACACTAATACCATGACGTAAAACTAACTGCATATAATTCATTTTCACTCAATGTTGGAGCTGAACTAAGAAATGTGAAATACATAATAAGATAGTACACACATCAACAATAATTAGCTAATAATAATTAAAGCTACGCAGAGAATACAACTACAACAAGAGTAACAAACTGAATTACTGGTAAACAGTCGAATACAGTGAATACAATTGTTTTGTACAACGCAGAAAAGTGTTTTCTTTTACAATATTGATCCAAACAGAGAGATCTACGAGCATCAGTTCAAATACATATGACACGGAGTAACAATCATACACAGCGCACTACACACTCGAGATTTAAACTACAGACTGTGTTAACGATCTACGCACAATAAGATAGATTTAATTGAGTGATACAAAAGAACGACCACAAAAACATTGTGTGTTTTTATCAGAGGAGAACTTACCGAGTGCGTATGTACTCCAGAATGAATGGAGAAAGCCGGCTCCTCTGTTTAAAACAGCGCCCACAAAAGGTTTTCCCCATAGTCCTTGGATGGGAGACCGCCTGTGAATAACCAGGTGCTGTAAGCATTATGGCCCCTGGAGCTCGGGCCTCGGGGGCGAGCTCAACAACAGCGCGAGTTGTTGTCGTGTAGGTTGAGTTGAGTTGAGTGCAGCTGAAGAGTTGTTTCCGTCTCTCAACCACTCATCAATTCCGGTAGCATATAAAACAAAATAATGGAAGTTGATTAGAGTATGTATGTTTCCACAGCATATCAAAGAAAAGGGTGAATATTTCATTTCAGAACATGTTTTGATTTTCCAATTTAATTTGAAAATGGAAATACAATAAAACAACTCACGTATTTTGATTTCTGATTTGTTTTGAACGGAATAACTAAATGATTGAAGGGTACACGGATTGGACACGGACATATAAAGGATATTGATTTATACCAATTTGAATTATAAAAGGAAAATAACAATAAACGAATGGACAATTGGTTTTCGAGTTTATTTTGAAACGGAATAACTGATTATTGAAGGGTAAAACGAATATTCAGAATAAACTATATTGTATTGAATATCAATAACAAAAATTTAAAACTACACATGTTACATATAGGTACCATTTTAATTAGGAATTCTAAAATGCACGGAGTAGCAGATCATATGCAACATATGCATTACAACTTGCATATAAGGGCATTTTAAGCGTCCGTGCACATATACGCACGGTCTCATTCACTCAGCGCTACTTTAGGTATTAGATCAGTGTTTTCTCCACGCCTGTGGGCGTAGTGGATTGGTCCAAGTTTTTCGCTTGGAAATCAGGGTTTTCGAGCCCCCCAATCTCCAATTTTATTAGCGGGGGAGTATATGAAACAGATTTACTCTGTTAACTGATATAATGTTGCATTGTTTTTACCTGCCGTTTGGTTTGGTGCAGATTGTGAAGTATACAACAGATTACTACAGACCTACACTATTTAAATGTGATGGCCTAATTACTTAAGTATGTATTAGAAAAAATTAAACGTCAACCAAAATCAAAAGTGTCGTAGACTGTACTTGAACCCCGAGTCCTATCACAGACCAGAGTCCACCACTTTAATCATTGAGCTATAAAGCCCAGAAAGTTTGTCCGGTGAACATAGAACAAAGACCGATGAAGCCAATTTTCCTAACGCCTCGCACAATTGCCACCTGGTGTTGTTTCGGGTCATTTGCATCATCACAGGGGAAAAAATAATAAAAAGAAGCGAGGAATCACACTTGAGTCACGTGTGATACACGCTGAAAGGCGACAAAAAACGAAGTGGGAACCATACTGTAACCACAGAACGAAAATCCTGAATAATTCATATTGTTTAAAGTAGGAAAGAGGAGAGTGATAGTGCTAAAATACCATACTTTTCCCAGCAGACTTACTCCTACGCAGCTTGACTGACAGTCAGAGAAAGATGTCTAGGAGCCTTCCCTGAGCCTAACTTCCAATCCATATGCTAACTAAGACGACAGTTTTAAGCCTTACCTTGAATGTGGAGACCGTGTCCGAACGAAGGAGAAACAGCAGCAGCCGCGCTAGGCCTAGCCAGGCTACAGCCACCAAATATTTGTGATTACACTACCAGATGTGTAAACCAAGACCAGGACAAACAACCTAACAATAGGCAAAATTGTTGCAAAAGAGGCAAAAGAGAGTGTTTAAGTCCTGGGCCTTGAAATGTTGAAGACCGTATCTCTTTCTTATTCCACATAAAGGGGCTTGGTATCTAAATGCTCTGCTGCTGACCGACAATTGTTAGAAGTGACCTTAGGAACCAACAGACGCTGGCGTTTTGTGAGCACCGTGCTCGGCATATGGATGATAATAGCACTAACTTTTCTTGAAGATAAGAACGAGCCAGGCCAATCATGGCTTTGTATACTAAAAGAAGATTCCGTGATCACTTTAAGGAAGGATATTCTTGATTTTAGCGATGTTCCGCAAGTGGCAAAAAGCTGTTTTAGTTATGCTTGGGCCTTATATAAGCCTTGAAGGAGTGTGCACATCGAATTCAGCCCCAAGAATGAGGCGAAGATTTGTGATTCAAATTGACAAAGTGATCCGATCCGATAGATAGGATTAAAACTCAGCCAAGGGCTGTTCCTCTGAGGACCTATATCACCTTCGTAAGCCTCCCGCAGTAGAATTCTGTGGTCTATTGGTTAAATGGAGCACTGGGGGTCCAGTAGACCAACACTGGACGCTTGTCCACTATTATCACTAGTAGTATGTCATTTTTTTACTTTGACTAGTGCCGATTCATTGCTATGAGAGCTCTGAATCCCAAATTGAAAGGATTCCAACTATTATTTTCCTGACGTGGAAGGCAAAGCGTTTTGCTCTAAGAGTTTCCCAGATTTGTTTTTCTTCAGAAGGGGGTTGATTACGCGGTTTTTAAAAGCTTGTGGGACATAGCCACATTGTATAGATGTGTTTATTATTTTAAGATAGGCCTCTTGTGTCAAAGACTGTGGGTCATGGAAGAGCCAAGCACTTTAAAAGACACATTCGGGGCGACGGAGGTTCAGTAGTTAGAGCATTGACCTTTGAGCTGAAGGTCGTGGTTGGAACCCAGGTCTCCACCTGACCATCACCACTAATGTCAAGCTGTCGTTGTGTCCCTTGCAAGACACTTAACCTATGGCCTGATGCCCACAGTGGGCGGCTGAGGGCTGTAAAGTGGCAAACTGACTGGAACTGCCGTTTGTGTCCCTAGGCAACACTTTCACCTCCATTGCCTAGAATTGAGTCTAGTGTGTGTGTGATTTGTATAAAAAATGCTCTGTCAGTGGCCCCAGTGCAGCTGTGGCTACAGTAAGCGTTTATCACCACTTGTGTATGAAGTGAAATGAATAATGCAGCCCCGCGAAAATTCAATTTGGTAGACGTTCACCAAAATTACCCCCTCCAGCCGGTTCACATCCCCCAGGCTATCGCTCAACCGACGCCGCCTTCCCAATCACCGTACCGACAGACCCAGCCCGCAAAAAACCGGAGGAACTCCCAATCTCGGCCTCCTGAAGCCTTGCATGAATCGTTTCTGGAGGAACTCAGCTTTTGTCTACTCACAGCGTACTCCTGCCGAGACACCTGCTGTACCTCTGTCTTGCAGCGTGTTGGCCGCTCCTCCTCCGCGTTGCTGCACCTGCTAACGGTCTCGTGCATTGTTCCGTGTGGAACTTTTGCGCTCTTCCCGTCCATTGCTTTGTATAAAAAATGCTCTAGAAACAACTAATCAATTAATCTAAAGAATAATCGGCCCACTAATGTATCATCATAATAATAATTACAGTCCTTATTCCACACTAGTCGCTCTAACCATACACAGATACCAGCTCCCATGTGAGACCATGAAAGGTAAAGCACCCATGCATCGACACATGCAATGTTTTTTACGTAACTTTGTTTTATTATTCCTTGACTATGGACATACGGTTTCTTAATCCTCTTCTGGCTCTTATCCGTCCGTTCTTAAGTCGCAGTCGTCCTTTTGTGTTGTTGTTATGACACTGGAGAAGAAGAAGATACCATGCTCTAAACAGGAGTACATTTAGTTGCACTCTGTGTGACCGGTGGAGATCACTGAGGAACAGCCTCGAACAAGACTCTTTCAATAAAATGATTCTATACCTGCAGATTTGGTATTAGTTAATGCATTTTTAGTAGATCTGTAATGGACAAACAGATGCATATATCTGATCAAACAAAGAGCCTTAGAAGTGTACAATATCTTTCTTGGGGGGGATCCATGTTTGATAAAAATTATGAAAATGTTTGGTATGTTCCAATGTTGACTCTACATTTATTCTATTTCAATGATTGCCAAAAATTGTTTAAGTCCATTTTATGAAACAGCTGTACTCTATATCATATACTGTACATGGTGAATAATCATTTTTGGACCTTCACTCTAAAAACTTCATACCGTTTGTCTTATAATGTGAGACGGTATGTGATTTCTGCCTTTATACAGTTAACCTTTTCAAATTATAATCGTATTCATTCACCACTGTGTAAGAGCTGTAACTTAGAAGCTCTTTTATAACATAGTACATTTGAGTTTATTTGGGCCTTTAGTCCCATGCATGCTTTTAAGACATATATATGATATGAATCCAGGTCCGGGCCTGACCCTCTCGACTCTGAGCCTGTGTGGGCCCAAACACAGAAGGCGAGACTACTTCCGGACAAGTTTAAGTTCATGTCTGGTGCTTTTGTCAACTGTTAATCTGACAACTGTTTAGTTAGAAGGGAAGCACAGTTCATGTTGCTGAGTAGAAACAACAATCTAAATTTAGTTAGTTTTTAGACAAATATTAGCATGACCAGAGTGGAAATTATATTCAGCATATTGTTTATACTCTCTTAGCCACGTTTTCAGCATTCTATCATGAAAAAAATATTTAATCATGACTCACACCTTCTTGAAAACCGTTTGGTTCTGTACTCAGAATAATGCAGACTTTAAAAACAGAATGGCTTTGATGGAATTCGTTTTCATTGTTTTTCAGATGTGGTCGCTCGGCCGTATACAGGACCAGGGAGATGGCCGCTCGCGCTCTCGTCCCGTTCGTTTTGGTGACTCAGGTTCCGTCCACAGTCTGTGATCTACTGAAAGAGCTTCCTCCCACACCTGGGCCCAAAATCCAGCACAACCACATCCACGGGACACTGCTCCAGGTGTGAACACATGTTTGTATGAAGTTTCCATCGTGAATGGAGCTGCTGTGATTGGCTCAGCTATTGATTGAGGTCTCATTAATAACTTTTAGTCTGACTTTTGGTTACTTTTGTCCAGTCTGAAGCCCTTTTGAAACTGTGAAAGGTCAATTATAAGTGACAAGTAGGCTGTGTAACTCATGTCTCACAGCACTAAGTTGGCTCGTTCAATCCCCAGACCGACCAGGCTTTTCCTTGTGGTGCTTGGATGTTTCTCCCTCTTGTCTGCCTGGGTTTCCTCTGCGCACTCCCCCCTCCATCACCCTAAACATGCATCATACGAAGGTCTGAGCTCGCAATCTGAATATGGTCCCCTGGATGGTTGCTCTCTGGCCCCACTGCTCCTCACTGGGAGCCCGAGTGGCACTTGGAAGATGGGTCAAATGCAGAGGAAGATAAGATTTATTGTCGTCCTTTATTTGTGTCAACATTGCACACATTACAGCAGAATGTAAGAAATGAGGAGATAAAAGCAGTCAGTTTGTACACACCATACAGGATCTATTATTTAAGATAATAGATGATAAAATAAAATAAAATACTAAAGTAATAAGATAATACAATTGAATAAAGTAAAACTCCGGAGCGACAATTGCACTTGGTTCAAGGATAGCACAGCAGGAGGTATTTACTGATGTTTATATTGTAAAATGACCTCCCTGTGGTCAATAATGTGTTCAAATACAAATGTATTGACTCTATCCATGTTTTTTTCAGAAATATATTAGTTATTTGGATAATTGCTTTGCCATAGCTATCGTAAATTTAAAGGAAAAGCTTAGTGTTTGGAAATTGTAGCCTCACACAGGAAGCTGAAACCTATGAACCCAGCCTTTTACCTGCAGCATGGTTTGACATCCAGCCTCCTCACAGAGCAATCACCACACAAGCTGTACGACTTATCCCCCCCCTCTCTCCTCCTCCCACCCCCCCTCTGCCCTCTTCTGTCTTCATGTGTTGATATTAGCAGCAGACTGTTTGGTTGTGTTTGTCTTAGCCTGATGACAGAACTAAACTCTGGTATTTGCGTAGCGATAACTGCCTTGTCTGGACAGGCTCCCTAGGTTGTCTGTTATCTAAATGTGGGTGTGCAGTTTTGATAAGTGGATCAGTTATGGCATCTTGGATTTCAGATGGGTGCAAACTCCTCGAGGCACGTTGTCAAGATTGTGACGTTTGAACTTGCTCAATACGGCTCCAGGATGTTAGGAGCAAGAGACCTCTTCTGGAAAATGCATTTATGTTTAAGGCTGCGGTGAATCAAACACAATGGAGGAAGTGGGATGTTTCAGGTTACAATGCCACAATCAAAACAACATGAGTTCATCAATCATACAATCTGGTTTATGTGATGACAATGGGCTTTAGAAGGCCACTGTGTTGGGTATGCACACAGTATGGATCAAAATGAATGAGCATTTTTGTCTTTTGTCGGTTATTTCAATGTTGAGTCGAGTTTGTTTGACAATAATGTTGCAAATGCTCTTCTTTGATCAACTGAAAACCTCCAAAATACACCAAGGATTGCACCTCCTTATGTCCCGGAGCAAGACACTTAAAGCTGTAGCACCAAATGCTCAAGCCACAAACTTGTAATTAAATCTAATGTGATTAGTTCCATGCTTTCAAAGCTGTTTTTTACAGATTTTATCACTATTTTTCTAACACTTCTTTGAAGCCGGTGTTTCAGACAGAAAAGTGAAAATGAAAGGACCACCCTCACTCGGCCAATCAGCTCTCGGCCCAAGATGACAATTAGTGAGCATGCAAAAGAAATGGTTTCTGATAAGACTGCTTGTTGTGGTCTGAACATTTTACTTTTACAATACACTTTCTGTGGCGCCAAAAAACAAAGTGATGTACCCCAGCTTTAACTTACGATAATCTATGACTCCAACGTGCCTCTGCATCTGCAACTGGGATGAAGAAAAATAAAATATTAAGGTGAGAATTTCTAACATTTTTATAATCAACAGTTACAGGGAACATTGCAATTAATCAGCCCCAAGTACTGCTGGGTTTCATCAGTCACAAGTTCAACTCTATTGTCTTCATAGAGATGGAACATAGGTACATTTCCCGTAATTTGTGGGATGTTGAGTGTTTGGCCATGACACCCAGCTGTCCGTTGTTGTTGTTGAAGACTGGATGAAGATGAGCTTGTTTTGAGGGTTTGTCTTCAGCAGCGTGACGGGAGCTTTGGGAGGGTATGCAGGTGAAGTGGTCTAAACATAGAGCTGATATGTGTGGCTGGAGAGGGTGTGATAGTGAGATAACAGGGTAAATACATCTAGTGTGAGATGGTCTATCATTCCTTCAGCCATGGCAAACTAAACCAATGGTATAATGTGTAACTGTGGCAAAGAGGGCCACAAGCCGCACAGGAAAACGTCACGCAATTCACCGAATGTTCTTCAAAAGTCAGGATTTAGGTGACCTCACTTTCAAACGACCACTTCAAAGTATTGTGAATGACTCAAAACGCCTCTTGGTCCACTTTTTCCTCTTCAGCGGAGTGAAGTGGGATTGACGTGAGTGGATAGAACTCTTGTTTCTCAGAAAGTCCTGGGTTTGAATCCCAGTCAGAACAGGGCCCTTCTGAGTGGAGTTTTTATGTTCTCCCCATGTCTGCGTAGGTTACCTCTGGGTGCTCCGGTTTCCTCTACCACTTAAAACAAAAGGTAAAATCCTCCAGCTCTTGTAGTCCAGACCAAGCCAAGCAGGATGGGTCAAATGCAGAGGACAAAGTTCCCTGCGGGGATAAATAAAATGCACATGTATCTTTCTACGGCCAGACACATACATTTAGCTGACTTCTCTCATATCACCACCGTATTGATCTAGTGTCGTAACCATTTAGATTTGAGTACTGATAGAGAACTTTGCTACATAAAAAACCTGCACGACACACGTTTACAGAACAAGACCGACAGTTTTGAAATATATTTAGATGAAGCAAAATAGTTTCCTTTGGACCAATGACTCCAAATATCTTCACAAACATACATTTAATTGATATGACCCAGAAAAAAGGCCCTTTGAGAAGCATCGACTGAATCACACAATCAAAAGAGAGCGTCAGTATTTGTCAAATTAGAATCTAGTTTGAGTGTTTCATACGTCCAAAGATGTGTTTGTTCTCAGTCAGTGGCTTGTTAGTGCCAACATGTGGAGCGTTGCGTCCCACCGTGGGGAAAGTGCAGTGTGCTTTAATATGCCCCAGCATGTAACGGGTAGCAGATGTGTTTGCTCAGGGCCAAAACGACTTCCTCTGTTATTGTCAAAGAACAACAGCGAGCGAGACGTGTGGGGCTGGGAACCATCAGGGCCTCTGCTGCGCCACCGCTGCTTCATTCACACGTGCGCTCCCCATAACGCTCTCACATGGATTCCGACGCAGCTAAAGGAGATGCATTGTGATTACTGACGGCATCTGCGCTCCAGCTGAGTCATGTTTCGAATGCTTTCTCTCTTCCCATGCGTCCTGATGTGTTCAATGTGTTTGGATGGACATATTGTTCCTAGACAAAGCAAACACGTCCATCATCATTCGCCTTCGCTGAGGAAAGTACACTATGATGCTATTTGCGGAATATCTGTCGTCGATACGAATCCAAACAAAAGCGAGAGAGATCTATTTTCTACGGCCTACGTCAACTTACCTAGAGCTCATTGGTTTCGCTCGCAGCTCCAGCAAAATTGTTGTTTTATGTAGTTCCCGTTGGTGGAAGAAGGAGCCAATACATCAGGCAACAGCATGTTTAAAGGCTTCTATCATTAGTCTCAACTAGGGCTGTGTTTCATTATTATTCTATATTATCAGTAAATTGGAAGATTATCATTTTGATTCATCAATTAGTTGTTTAAATCCATCCAAATGATTTTTAATAAATATAACCAAATATGCCTGAAGCCCCCGCTGAAAGATCTCAGCTCCTGTGGACTCACCGCCTGCAGGAGGATCAGTGAGGGGCTGGTGCTCTGTGACTGGGTGCAGCTTTGACTGCCACCCCCCCCGACCCGGAATTGGATTAAGGGGAAGAAAATGGATGTATGGATAACCAAAGCTAAAGCAAAGTAGTTTTATTAGAAATAGTAAAACCGTTCTTTGTCATTCTGTAGTAATTAAAGCTCTGTGTGAGTCAGAACACCTCTTCTTATATTGTCTGGTACAGAAGAACCAATACTTTTAATTCTACTAAGAAGACAAGATGAATCTTCCTAAACTCAGCATGTTTTGTTCCATGGTCAAAAACCAATTAATCAATTACTAAATAAGTTGTCATCTATTTCAATAATTGATTTCAAAAATAGAAAACTGTCAATTGCGATTCTGTTTAGATTAAAATCATCTGAAGAGGCTTTCACGTATTTTGATGAAAAATATATTCTGGAAGACCAGCGGCAGTATTTTTTTTGTCATACCAGTTGTAATGTTTTTATTTTTCTTTTTTTTTATCTAATCAGAAATTGAGATCAGTGAATATGGGAAAAAAAAATCTTTATTTTTTGCCCGTTCCTACCTGAAATATTATCAATTACTTAGAAAGTTGAGATATTGCGGTAGATTTTCAAATAGATAAATAACAAATAAACACTGCACTAATCTGCGGAATACCCTCATGCAACATTATGATTACCTTCATTTGACAAATATCTGGGTATGCTTTGTTCTAACGGACTAACTTGATATAAAAGAAAAAAGAATAACCTGACAACCACAAATGAACCATCAGATAAGACTCAGCTCCTGATATTTGAGGTGAAACTATTATTGCGACAAAGACCATAAGATTCTCAGACAAACCATGTCTTTTGTTGACACAACGTGGTCTGGTCTTAACAAGCCTTTTGGATCAGCCGGCACTAACACGACCTGACTGCAGTTATAGCACTTTGCTTTTATGGGGCATGCTTTTTGGGGCGGCCTGGTTTCTAATAAGCCTTTGCATATTTCCACA